ATAAATGGATATCCCTGTAGGAAAAATTGAAATTGGCCTCCTACTTCATATCATACTAGAAAAACAATACCTGGTATAGTAAATGTGATGGTCAAACTATAAAACTTTCAGAAGAATATATCTTTTTATAAACTTAAGGGAAGGTTTTCCTTTAAAACTGTAAAAACCACTAACCATAAAGGAAAAGATTAATAAGACATTTTACTGTATAGAGTAAGTAAGTAAGTAAGTAAGACTGTCACCAGAGATACCACAAAGAGTGTGGAACTTCAAACCGCAAAGTGGGGGAAGAGATTTGCAGCAGATATAATTGATACCAGATTCATATTCTGAATTTATAAAGATCTCCAACAAATCAAAAGACTTTATGAGAAAGGAAATCTATGGCCAATAAACAAATGAAAAGCTGTAGTACCTCATTAATAATAAAGGAAATGAAAATTAAAATCACAGTGAAATGCCACTGTATGAAAATCTTTAAAACATAATAAACATATTAAGACATCTCATAATAATAAGTATTGGAAAAGATGTGAAGCCACAAGAAGTCTTCCACACTGCTAGTAGATGTGTAAATTGGTGCAACCACTTTGGAAAACCATTTGTCATTCTCTTGTGAAGTTGAAGATCCCTACATCTTATTACATGGCATTTTCACTCCTAGATATTCATCTAGATCAATGTGTAATTGAAGTGTTCATCAGTAGTAGGATAAGCAAATAAACTGTGGCATGTTTATATAGAAGAGAACTATGAAGACAGTGAAAATGAAGGAACTACTGCAGGATACACCTTACATGAAAATAGAAGGAAACAGATTCTCCCCTAAATCTCCAGAAGAAATGTAGCCCTGCCAACACACCTTTATTTTAACCCAATGAGACTTATTTCTGACTTCTGATCTCCAAAACAATAGGTAGTTAGTACTAAAAATTGTAAAGTGTTAAAACTATCAAGGAAATGATTATCACTAAAATCAGTAGATTAGTTTCTCTTTTGGAGAGGGAAAAGTTTATGATCAGGAACAGCTACATTGGAGCTTCTAGGGTACTGGCAATATTTTTATTTCTTTGAATGTGTATATGTTTTATGCAGTCTTCTCTCCATATGAAGTTAGCATCATTGCTTTTATAACCAGAAAAAGAGTTTTAAGAATACTACATACCCATAATTTTTTAAACTGAAGGTTATTTCTTAAAGGCTTTTTTAAAAATTTATTTATTTATTTGAGAGAGAGAGTGAGGGAGCACACAAGTGGGGGTAAGGGCAGAGGGAGAAAATCTTCAAGCAGACTCCTTGCTGAGCCTGGGCTGGATTTCACAACCCATGAGATCATGACCTGAACTGAAACCAAGAGTCAGACACTTAACCAACTGAGCTACCCAGGCACCCATGAAGGCTTTTTAAAACACATTTCTTTGATTATAGAATTATTTCTTCCTTGAGAGAGTGTGACAAAAAATATTTTTTATAAACCTTTAGTACTTTGCAGTATTTTCTCTAATATGATCATAGATTTATAGCATGTAAAAAATTACTTAGTTAACATAAGGAAGTAGCTACTTGTCTTCCCAAATTGAAATAAAAATACAATTTAAGTGGAAGAACTTGTAAGAACCCTTATCCAAAACTCTGGTTTCAAAAATAGATTATGTCTTAAATTTGCTAAATATTAAAAAATTAAGGAGTACCCATTTATTGAAATGCGTCTAAGCCTAGTGTATATCTTGCTGTTATTTTTTTTCCCTGCTTAACATGGGGATTAAAAAATGTTGGAAGTTATTTGTTTCATTTTTCTGGATTTTAAGTAATTTAAAGATTTATTTATTTATTTATTTATTTGAGAGAGAGCACTTGAGTGGGGAGGGAGGTAGAAGCTGACTCAGCAGATTTCCTGCTGAGCATGAAGCCTGATGCAGGGCTGGATTCCAGGACCTGCCAAAGGCAGATGCTTAACAGGCTGAGCTTAAATCATGTTTAAGGTTTAATTTAAGCTTAAATCATGTTTAAGCGTAATCCCTGCCTAAATTTAATCTGTTGCCTGGAGCTGTCATCTTGGAGGGTTAAATAAATAAGGAGCAGTTTGCAATGAATTTAATTTCTTTAATTTCTTCAACTTTTTTTAAGTTTATGTATTTGTTTAAGTAATCTCTACACCCAGTGTGGGACTCAAACTCATGACCCCGAGATCAAGAGCCACATGTTCTTCCAACTGAGCCAGACAGGCACTCCTCATTTCTTCAACTTTTAAAATTATAGTAATAAAATTTAAATAGGAATTGATAAAAAAGAATTCTTACTGCATTTAGTATGAAAGAAACTATTTATAGTGTGATTCTATAGGAAATTTTTAGTCTTAAGTATTTGATGGTCTCTGTTAACTAGGGCATTAAAACTTTTTCCTAATGAATACAATATGGGGAGGCATTTTGGCAAGATAGTGATCTGTTTCCCAACTTCAGTTACTAACTATCACTTGAGAGTGAAACAGCTCTGAGGCATGTAGGCTGGAGGGGCCTAGAGGGAATATGTGAGTTTGGGGAATATAATGTGATCCAAATGAAAACAAGAGGCAAAAGCCTGTGGGGCAATTATCAGAATTTTTGAGTCCTCAGAAAGAACTGTGCCCTTGAGTAAAAGCTTACTTCCATCCCATTGTAGAGGTTGCTTCTACAATTTTGGTGTTAACTGCCTTTCAAGGGACTCCGAGCAGCTTGAAGGATGAGCTCCGAGATGACATGACGATGATGCAAGCCATGAATGGCAAAGGAAAACAGTTCACTTAAAGGAACACCAGCAGCCGGAGACAGGATGAACAAGGATTGCATCTAGAACAAGTGAAACTGGAGGAGATAGATGACAGATTTAACAGGCAAAACAAAATAAATTATCTTAGATTTTCAAGAGAAACAAAGAGACATGCTTCTAATCATAGTGTAAAAGAAAACAAAAAATGAGGAGCTTTTTTAGATATTAACTTGTGGAAAGGGTGATTATTGGTGAGACTCAAATTCCTGGTCTGGAACATTGAGTAGAAGAGTATAGCCAAATGGGGTAGTCAGTGGGGATATAAATATAGATAAAGATATAGATATAGTTATAGGTATATGTGTCTATGGAAGGAGAGAGAACAAATGGAGGAGGTGCAGTAACTAAAGCTATACTAGGCAAGCATGTCTCTGGTTTGAAGAAAAACTGAAAGAGCCTGCTGAGTTCCAGACCAGACTGTTGAAGATGGTGGGGAGACAAGAAAAACAAGCTGTTTACAAAGGAAAAAATCATCGTATATGTGCCAGACTACTCCATGTGACCCTGGAAGCTAGATGGTAGTAAAATAACATCTACAGGGTTCCTAAGAAAGGACCTGTGCCTATACCTAAGCAGGTATTATTCACATGTTGTGGTGAAAGCAAGATACTTGTGAACACACAGTAATACAAGTCCTCCATTTAGGAGAAGTTCTCAGTAAATGATTCTCACCAATAATTGCCAACAGAGACTTTGAGATAGGGCAGAAGAAGAGAGAAAACAGTGGTAAGCAAGTGAATCTCACAGTATATTTAACTAGATCTAAATGGATAATGATAGAGTGACTTTATTTCAGCAGATGCCTTTGTCTTCTCCATTTCCTGAAAGTTAGCAAAAGCTTCAGTAGATGTGGGTTCTGTCCCTCTGGCAAGACCGTAGTGATTTTCTATTCTTCCAGAGGGAGGCATACAATTTCTGATTGTCTTGTTGTAAAAAAAAAAAAAGCTGTTAATAGGGCGCTTGGGTGGCTCAGTGGGTTAAGCCTCTGCCTTCAGCTCAGGTCATGATCTCGGGGTCCTGGGATCGAGTCCCGCATCGGGCTCTCTGCTCTGCAGGGAGCTTGCTTCCTCCTCTCTCTCTCTGCCTGCCTCTCTGCCTACTTGTGATCTCTGTCTGTCAAATAAATTAAAAATTAAAAAAAATTATTTAAAAAAAGCTGTTAATACTCAATTCTAGATCCATTAATTCATTGCTGGTTGCAAAATGGTGACATCCTATCATTTTTTTTTATAAGGCGAACACTTATACAGACATTTCATCTTTTTGGTTACTCAGTGATACAGTTCATATAGGAAAGGCAAATTAAATGTTTTGCCCTTTATCAGTTTACGAGATTATGAATGGGTTCTCTATCATCTTTTGGGGGAAGGGGGAGATGTCATTATAAACTAATATAATTCAACGTATGTGATATATTTGAGTCCTTTGCAGTTATTATTTCCATTGAAGCTGAGATTTGTCTCATCTTTGGCCTAGAAGCAGAATGGTTCCTGACTCCTTTTGACATGACCCTGATAATCTTTGACGGTAAAGAAAGGGGCAGTATAATGGGGCACCTGAATTGCTCAGTCAGTTAACCATCTGCCTTCAGCTCAGATCATGATCCAGGGTTCCTGGGTTTGAGGCCCGTGTCAGGCACCCAGCTCAGCAGGGAGTGTGCTTCTCCCTCACCCTCTGACCATCTCCTTTACTCATGCTCTTGCTTGTTCTCTGTCTCTCTCAAATGAATAAATAAAAAAATCTTAAAAGGGGGGGGCAGTATTTTTTTTTAAGTTTTGTGTTGTTTTTTTAAAAAAATCCCAGAATGTTGTCTATGCTTTTGGGAAGGTGGTTTTTAGGATCTATTTGTTTCCTAGGATATTTGATACTTAGTATGATCTTTGGTGTAATTGTAGACAGATATGCCTTAGAATTTGTGTTACTTGCAAAAAAATACTGGTTTTATTTTTTAAGTATATGTGGGGACTCAGAAGGAATATTTCCCAGTATTTCCCAGCAAAAAGATGGAGAGGAGTATGTTAAAATGTTTTTTTCAATTGAATAATAAATATTTGAATGTTTACTCTGGACCATTCTTCACGATGGAAACTCTTGGGAATTCAGACAATCATGAAACCTGCTTATTTATCTAACATTTTGGTAAAATAAGTTCTAATGTTTGACCTTAAAACTTAATTTATTTTTTCTTTCAGATCTGTCACGCAATCGTCTCTCAGAGATTCCCATAGAAGCATGTCATTTTGTTTCTCTCGAGAATCTCAACTTATACCAAAATTGTATTCGGTATATACCAGAGGCAATTCTAAACCTACAAGCTCTAACATTCTTAAATATTAGGTAAGGATGCTGTTTCTTTCTTTTTTTTTTAATTTTTAGTTTTATATGGTATTTTCAGTTCTCTCTTCCCTTTCACTGAAATTTACATTATCTATTTATATCTGCAGTATCACTGAAATTTACATTATCTATTCATATCAAATTTACATTATCTATTCATATTTACATTATCTATTCATATTCATTCTTAGGCTGAATTAACAATATTTCCTATGTGCTTCTAGTTTTCTCCCTTTGCCTTTAGCTTTGCAATAATTAACAAACTGTAAGGGTCATTGGCCTGATAGGCTTGCAGTAGTCTTGTAGTGATTCTACAATTACATTTTCAAATAAGCTTTATCAAATGAGAATAGATCTGAAAGTACTTTCATTGTTGTGATTTTGCATTTTTGTGTACTAAGTTCTGAATGTGTAAATGCATTTATTTAACTCCTTTCTATTTTTTCATATCTTGGAATACTTCTTTCACTATTTTTTTGGTTATAAAAGTTATAAATGTTCACTGGAAAAAAATGAGCAAATGTAGAAAAGTATAAAGAAAATTCATCAAAATGTTGTATCTGAGTTATAATTATAGGTGATGTTTTCCTTTTTCTCTAGGCTTTCAATAAAATTTCTAAATGAGATTTTTCCCCTTGGCATGATATACTCTTTGGAAATATTTTTGTATGTAAAGATTTTATTCTATAGTTTATATACTCTAAAACTCATTTTCCCTCTCAGATATTTAGTTTATTTCAGGTTTTTGCCATGATAAAAGTAATACTGGCAGAGACTCTTGTATGTAAATGTTTATCTTTCTCTTTCCTTAAGATAAATGTCTAGGAATAGAATTGTTATAATTATTATTATTATTACTAAGATTTTATATGAGAGAGACAGCAACAGAGATAGAGAGAGCATAAGTGGGGAGGAGAGGGAGAAGCAGGCTCCCTGCGCTTGATCCCAGGGCCCCAGGATCGTGACCTGAGCCAAAGGCAGATGCTTAACTGACTGAGGCACCCAGGCATCCCGGAATAGAATTATTGATTGAAAAAGTTTTAAAGGCTCGTGATCTATATTGGTCATATCAGCAAAAGGTCTTGGAAATGGGGTGAACTGACCCTAGAGATGAAAAGGTTAAATCTATATAAGTAAAATTTTAACTCATTTTTATCCTAATGATAGATGTGTATTTTCAGTACTGATTTCGCATATTTTTATATATATAAAAGATTTCTTTTTTTTTCTAAGATTTTATTTATTTATTTGAGAGAAAGACAGAGAGAGCATGAGAGGGGAGAAGGTCAGAGGGAGAGGCAGATTCCCCTTGGAGCTGGGAGCCCAATGTGGGACTCGATCTGGGGACTCTGGGATCATGACCTGAGCCGAAGGCAGTTGCTTAACCAACTGAGCCACCCAAGTGCCCCATAAAAGATTTATATACCTATACTTCAGCTGGTGTGACATATTTGAAATCACAGCCTGTCACTTGTTTTCCATAGAACTATATTTGGATCATTTGTATACATTTGATTATAATGTATGTAATGGTGAGGGAAGTAGATACAACTACTTATATGTTTATAACTCTTGTTTGGAAGACAGGAAAGGATAACAGTCATCTACTGTATTTTTAAATCACTATATCGTTCATAACAGTAATTTAAATAAGTAACAAATGTTGTGTTTATATAGCACATCATTATTTACAAAGGAGTTTTATGGTACAGGGTCCTGTAGGATAGGTAGAAGAGTTATTAAGATCCTCAATTTACATATGAGGAATCTGTGTAAAAAACGAATAATGCTGTGCTTAAAATCACAAAGGTGATAACGTGAGGTAATGGAGGCCAGAATCCAAATCTGATATCCCATTTGTTTCTTCCAAGACTTAGGTTTGTCACTTTACTGAGTGTAGAATAGGAAAGATGGAAATTTCTTTCTTGAGTGGTGGGTTCTTACTCCTCTCTTTTTCTACTTACCCATTTAGTCGGAACCAACTGTCAACGTTACCAGTGCACTTGTGTAATTTACCACTGAAAGTCTTAATTGCTAGTAATAACAAATTGGTGTCACTTCCAGAGGAAATTGGACATCTCAGACATTTAACAGAACTTGTAAGTTAATGTTTTACTTTTTCACTGTCCCACATGTATGTATATCCATAGTCATACCATAATCTGTCATGTGATAAAGACCCATTATTAAGGTACGTATTGTTTAGTTTTCTTCAGGTATGAATAGTGAAGTTTTGCTGGTTGATCAGTACTGAAGTGCTTCAGGACAGAGTTAAAGTACTTAAAGTGCAAGTCTAATAGGCCCACGTGGACTGGGAGAAAGTCATTAGAATTAAATTTTAACCAGTATTCATTGATTTCCACGTTACTAAACTTTTGAGATATAAGTTAAATAATGCATTTGAATTTTTCAAAATCTTAATAGTGTCAGTGTTCCGATTTTTGGTTAGCCCCTACAGGGGGAACGGGCACTACAAAGATCGGGCTTATTTTTTTTTGTCTTACATGCTATCTCTAGCACCCCTCTCCTTCTATAAAGTAAGCTATTCTTTACTGCTTTATGGTTTCTGAGAAGCTTGACTTTCATTTACTACTCCTTGTTACTCTTTAGTACTTAATATTCTGGGCATGGGAATGGAACTTTTCCCATTAAACAACACAGTAACATGAATTAAGTATTATAATTATCATATTAAAGCCGAGGAAAGTAGCACTTGGGTAATTTGCCCAAGGTTCCATAACTGAAATAGAATTTGAAATCAACCTACCTTAACTTCAGAGCCCATGTTTTATATTTCTGAAATGGTCAAATACAATTATATCCATTGAGATTTGGAAGGATAGTTTCATGTAGGTTTATTAACAAAGATAGACATCATAAACAAAAAATTCACATGTAATTTAACTGGACCACACATTAGCTCTCTCTTTTTTTCAGGTGGATTATGAATATAAAAGGTCACATGTAAAAATACACAAATATATTAAATCTGGAGTATTTAGACTATTTATTTAGAGACAATAAGATCTAGGAAATAAAGTCCAAAATACAAGTTTGTTGGCATTTCTTCAGAGCTTGGGTTATTAACATGAACTAACAGTAAATTTTGCTTGTGATTCAGATTCTGACTTTTCAAATCAGAACTTTCTGTATCTGCTTATTGAATCATAAATACCTAAGCTATATCTTGTAGAAGGAGTTTTTAGCTTTCTACAGAAGAGGTAAATCGATACCCTCAGTTGTATAGTTTGTGCCAGAGTGAGAATTATTATTTTTTTATTTGAGAGAGAGAGAGAACATGAGAAGAAGGAGGGTCAGAGAGAGAAGCACACTCTCTGCCAAGCAGGGAACCTGATGCAGGACTTGATCCAGGGACTCCAGGATCATGACCTGAGCTGAAGGCAGTCGCTTAACCAGCTGAGCCACCCAGGCACCCCAGAGTGAGAATTAATAATCCCAAAGCTCCTGATTTCTACTTGATAGAACATGTTTTCACAGCATCCTTATTGCTTTTTTCCTTTATTTCCCTTTTCTTTTTTTAAGTTTATTTATTTAAGTAGTCTCTATAGCCAACATGAGGCTTAAACTAAAGACCCCAAGATCAAGAGTCACATACTTCTCCAAATGAGCCAGCCAGGTGCCGCTATTTCTCTTCATTGTTTTTTTTTTTCCCCTTAAAGATTTTATACATTTATTAGAGCAAGAGAGTGAGAGAAAGCACAAGAAGGGGGAAGGGCAGAAGCAGAGGGACAAGCAGACTTCCCACCAAGTGGGGAGTCCCATGCGGGGCTGAAGGCAGAGGCTTAACTGATTGAGCCACCCTTCCCTTCATTTTTAAGTGAAAGTAAACTTCAGTCTTTCAAGATATACATTTTCCAAGAGAAATATTATAAATTACTATTATCTTCTGTCTCAGGTTCAGTTTTCCCTATCCTTTCAACTTCTCTTCCTTTTAACTTTGATGCCCAGAGCATTGGACTAAAAAGTATAGCTACTGATTCTACTTCAGTCATTAATTGGTAGGAAAAGTAAAGTAATATTTTCTCTAAGAGTATTATGGGAAAATGTAAAAATAATGTTTGAAGATTATTGAAGTTTTGGTAAGTGGTCTTTTCAAATAGTAAGTCTATTAATACTGTCTTTTTACTCATATCCTAAAGGAGTTCTAAGTGTTAATGTGGCATCTTGGAGCTTTTATTAACCTAGACAACTTCCTGCTGTTATACATGGAAAAATGTTATACATTTTTCTGGCTGGTCTCAGAATTAGGGAATTCTGAATTTGTCAGTCTTGGAATCTGTAGTCAGCCTCTTCTCAGAACTAGTGGAATCAAGATGTTGACCAATATACCAGAAGGCCCACATAATACTTGTGTTGGTACCAGCTTGATCAGATGCCAATAGAGCAGTGTCTGTTTTTTCCATGGCCTATGAGTTATGTGTACTTCAGTTTTTTTTTCACTCACTTTCAGTTTGATAAAGAATTTTTTGAGCTGTCTTCAATGCATTTTTTTTAAAGATTTTATTTATTTATTTGAGAAAGAAGGAGCATGAGAGGGGAAGGGGCAGAGGGAGAAGCATATTCCCTGCTGAGCAGGGAGACTGATGCGGGACTCAATCCCAGGACTCCAGGATCATGACCTAAGCCAAAGGCAATCGCTCACCCAACTGAGCCACCCACACCCCCCTCTTCAGTGCATTTTTATTTTACATTCTTGAGCAGGTGAGCTGGTATTTTGAAAATAGGAGTTCCTTTCAATTAATTTTATCATTATAATTTTTATTATTGTTTTGTTTTTTCTTCTAAAAAGAACACTTATAAAATATTATCCTAAATAGATCTGTTGTTATACTTTTTTCTAATTTACCTTTTCACTAGAATTTTCATTTGATTTGATCCTAGGCCTTCTGTCCATATCTTGTCATTTAATTTTTGTTCTGCTCATAAAATTAGTGTAGATCCATATAAAATGTGTAAAATCAGTCAGAAGCCTCTACGTTTTTAGAATTAACAAGGGGACACAGAATCTTTTTTTTTTTTTTTTACAGTTAAGACAGATCATAAGTATTACTTTATCAAACCTCATTTTACACATGGTTTAAAGTGGACAAATTTGTAATATTAGAACAACTCTTTACCTTGTATCTTTTTGAGATAGGATGTGAGCTGCAATGAAATTCAAACAATACCTTCCCAAATTGGTAATTTGGAGGCCTTGAGAGACCTTAATGTAAGAAGAAACCACTTAATACGTTTGCCTGAAGGTAAGAAACTGAAATAATTGTTTTGTTATTTCTTGTTTTATTCTGAAGATCTCTCAGACTGATAGGTACAAGACAAAAATGTATACGAGTTATAGGCAACGTTTGAGATACAGTAGTTCAGCTACTATATGTTTCCTGTTTCCTTATAGATTTTAAAGTTAGAGTCTTCAGTGAAAAACTCCAATAACTATTAACCAGTGATTGTATTTTTAGATCGTGTCAGAATTAATTAATAATGCAAGGTAGGGTCCCTGAAAATTTTAGTACTTGAAACTATTGGGAGAAATAGATCATGTTTTTGATGAGGAAATAGTTTAGTGTAATGAAAAATATTCCTGCAATTTGCACTGACTTAAAATAGACTTAACTTGAACTTAATCTTCCCTGGAAATGTTCAGATAGAGGCTAATTAATGGTTGTGGCTAGTTAATGAGGTGATGTGTAGAATGAATAATGAATGCAGTGAGAGACTACACTGGGAGGCTGGTTCTCTTAGGCTTACTGTAGGCTCTGGTATATGTATCTAAATGATAAAAATGATTAAACAAATTAAGAATAATTTATCAGTCCTTCAAAATATGAATTCATGAAAGAAGCCATAAAAAGAAATGAAAAATGGGGAGAACTTAGATCAGAGTATATATTTCTTTAATTTTATTGTGGAAAATTTCATATATAAATGAGAGCAATGAATATCCAGCCAAAGTAGTGATCAGCTCCTGGAAACTCCTGTGTCATCTGTACTCCCATCCACTTTCCCTTACCTCTGTCCTTTAGAAGGTATTTTCATGACTATGATGCTCTAGGTTCTTCTACAAAAATCGACTTGTATAGTAAATAATGAAATAACTAATGAAACTTTTGCTTCACTGTGAAATCTAAATGTTAACACCAGTTTAATCCAGTATGATTTTTAGTTCTAACAAATTTTTAGTTCATACAAATGTGACTTGGACATTTTGGATGTCATACTGTCTCAGTAAGTGACCATTTAGTCCACTTTTATACACTTAGTACGGTCAGACTATCCAAAATCCTGCATAACTTTCATCTTACTCACTTACTCAGTAACCTCTACACCTTTTATTTTTAGAGCCCTTCCTCATTTCCTCCTGGGTCTACTTTTACCCCCTCAGGAATATGAATGAAGGCCCCCAGCAGAACTGACCAAAATCATGCCATAGGTCTCATAACCCAAAATTTCTATCCAAGATTACCCTTCTACTCAGGACCCACTTATGGTGATTGATCTTTAAAAAAAGTCTTATTAATATAATAATATGGACTTACTACAAAATCAATTAATGAAAACATTGGGATTTTAGTGAAAATGAAAATTCAGAGTTTTAAATGACAGATATAGTCTAATAGTTTTATCATCTAATTTATTTCTCTATCAAAATTTAAATGTATGTTACAAGAAAATGGTGAGTCACACATATAATTTTAAATGGCTTTAAAGCTTATCTTGTAATCTCAACATATTCAGCTAAACTGAAATGGGAAGAAAGCTTTATTCCAGTAGCTACATATGTTAGTGTGTAAGTTCGTGTTCATTAATTGGTGGTTTGGTAGATAAGATGTATGTCTCTTATTGCCATTTTGATTTTAAATTTTAATTGTCATAAAGTAATATATTGCTCAGAAAGTCAAATAATATAAAAATATATATATAGTATAAAATAGTATAAAATATATCATTCAGAAAGTTGAGTATAAAAAGTTCAAAATCAATAATAGCATTCTGCTGCCTCAACCATCTCCCTCCCCAGTTGTTGTTTTTTAAGATTTTATTTATTAGAGAGCGTGTGCTTGCATGTGCACATGGAGGAGGGGAAGAGGGAGAGAGAGAGAGAGAGAGAGAATCTCAAGCAGACTCCCTGCTGAGTGCTGAGTGTGGAGCTGCCACATGACTTGATCTCATGACCCTGAGATCATGACCTGAGCCGAAATCAAGAGTTGGACCTTTAGCCAACTAAGCTACCTGGCACCCCTCCACCTCCCCAGTTTTAATGTCTGGAAGCATCTACCTTTTCTGCCTTTGACTATTTCCACTAGCATTTGCTGACATATTTCTAAATAGCAGGCTTTAACAGCTTTACTGGATTTATCAGTCTTGACATTTATGTCAGCTCCTGTTATGGTAGATGACTGTTTATTTTTTTTATTTTTATTTTTTAAGATTGTATTTATTTATTAGAGAGAGAGAGAATGCACAGAAGTAGGCAGGGCGGCAGGCTGAGGGAGAGGGACAATCAGGCTTCCTGCTAAGCAGGGAGCCTGATGCGGGGCTCAATACCAGGACCCTGGGATCATGACTTGAGTCATAGGTAGATGCTTAACTGACTGAGCCATCCAGGCGATCTGATAGATGATGGTTTAACTTTCTTACACACTATCACGATCATAGCTTTACTTCCCTCCTACTATCTTCCCAATGTAGTTTTATCACAACTTTTGATCAAAGTATTATTGTTTATGTTACTACAACTATATAAATGTTGTTCCCTGCCAATTCAGTTGATGTACTCTGATTTTATTTCTTTTTTCTACATCTTATTTTTGTTGCTGCTTTCATCTTTTTTTGTTTTGTTCTTGCTTAGTTTTTTTATGTGCCTATGGCTAATTCCTCCCTCCTTTTCTAGCAGAGAGACCACATTCATGTAATTTTTATTACACTATTGTAATTGTTCTATTTTATTATTAGTTATTGTTGTTAATTTCTTACCATGCCTAATTCATAAATTAAACTTTATCATGTATATGTATACAGGTATGTATGTATAGGAAAAATCATAGTATATATCAGATTTGGTACTATCTGCAGTTGCTGCATCACTGGGGGTTTTGAAACATATCCCCCATAGATAAGAGGGGACTGACTACAGGCATTCAAGAGCTAAGGATGGGATGGGGTTGGGTAGGAAAGTGCTGAGGTCTCTTCACTGTGTAGTCTTCCTCTTAAATCCTCCATTTTCAACTGGCAGCTCATCCCGACTTTCCATTGTGCCTGAGATTCCTGAATTCAAAGGCTTTTGATTCGGTTTCGCTAGTGAATAACTTATTGACCCCTGTGGTGATTGGAGAGGGGTTGTGCTGCATGAGTTGAGGTTGGGAACTTAGGCATTTAACTTGTTCTTTGTACACACTATCATCTAATCCATTGGTTATGCCTATGTTTCTGTGGTATCAGGCCTCTGGTTTCTGTAGTTTTGTGAGCGCTCTTCACTAGTATTCCCATCTGTAAACAACTAGATTTCATTTTACAATATTAGCTCATTATTAAGAAAGGAGATAAATACATTAAATTTGTTATTATTTAACTAGAAGCTCCTGTAAAAATTGTCTAGTTTTGAAATATCATGAATTGTTCATTTCCTTCTTATCACCCTGCAGAGCTGGCAGAACTGCCATTGATACGATTAGACTTCTCCTGCAATAAAATTACAGCAATCCCTGTTTGTTATCGGAACCTCAGGCACCTACAGATGATCACCCTAGATAACAATCCACTACAGTCTCCTCCTGCACAGGTAAACTCTAGTGGGTCTGAAGTATGTTGGAAACTTTTTCAACAAAGGGTGAATTTACAAATTGAAGTTCTATGCATTTATCTTTTTGTTGGAAATGAAATTCTTTTAAAATAAACTCACACACATACGTATTCTTTAGAAGCCCTGAATAAATGGGATGAAGGGCAGGTAATATTTCCAGAAGTGTTTCAGTTTTCATTAAATTGACTTACTTTTTTAGGCTGAAGGGTTCTTCTTGAAGTTTTCTAATATAATTTGAGTTAATTTCTTTCTAGTAAAATTTGCATGTAGGCAATGTAAACACGAGAGACACATAAAAATACTTGGTTTTCAGAATTAAAGATTATCAGTGCGTTTCTTCTGACCATTGTTTTTGTACCTTTTTATTTTCTAAAATCTTAAGTTCCTCATTTAGTCAATTTGGTCATTTGTTCATCAGTGACAGATATGAAACTATTTAATAATAATTATAAGGTAACTTTACATATAGATTCCAGTCATCCCATAATCTGAAAAAATTTACGAGCCTGTATATTTTTGAATTTAATTTAATTTATTCTTTTATTATGTTCAGTTAGCCAACATATAGTACATCATTAGTTTTGATACAGTGTTCAGTGATTCATTTGTTGTATATAACACCCATTGCTCATCACAACACGTGCCAGCCTATATTTTTCACTGTAGCATTTGAACTCTATAGTTGATGATGGTCTTGTTCAGGCCTCTAGATGGCAACTATAAAGCTTTATGAGTAACCTTCATAACTATAGAAGGATCTCATAATCCTAAAGAATTTGTATTTTGACTTCCGTCAACAGAAATAGAATTTTAATAATTAATCTTTCTGCTTTTCTCTCTTACAGAAAGTAGGATTCAAAACATAATTGTGCATGATTGTTGAATTTCTAAAAGCAAAAGTTGCCAGTGTAATCCGTGGGGTACAATGCTTTAAATCCCTGACTGTGCCTAACTAATCAGGGTGATAAGTTTATTTAGTATTTTCTCAGTGTTTATAATCATAAGTTACTTATTTTATATGTTACTGAAAATTATTCTTGACCAGAAAATAAAAAATCTGTATTTATATCACTTAAACACATAGAATAACTAATAATATGTTATAATGAGTATTTGATTTTTAATATCGCTATATGTAGTTGATAGAAATGCCTGCTGTTTCTAATATATAATAAATAAAAAGCTGATTGTGATTGTTAACAGGGAACACCTACATTTCGGATGAGTAATAATTTGGTTGCGTGTATATGTTACTTTTTTTAGATATGTATTAAAGGCAAAATTCACATATTTAAGTACCTGAACATACAGGCATGTAAGATTGCTCCAGAGCTGCCAGATTATGATAGGAGACCCTTGGGTTTTGGCTCCTGGTGAGTATATTTTATTTTTTTTATTTAATGTAGTCCATCTTATAGGGAATCAAACTGGACCCTTAAATCTGCGTGAATGTTTAACTAAAGGGAAATAACCTATTTTGACACTGCTTTTCTCAGAATGTTTGTATTAAGTAAATAGTCGATTACAGATATCTGACAAAGTGTAGTTTTGTTTTTTTTTTAAGATTTTTATTTATTCATGGACAGAGAGAGATCACAAGTAGGCAGAGAAGCAGGCAGAGAGAGGGGGCGGAGAGAAGCAGGCTCCCTGCTGAGCAGAGAGCTGGATGCGGGACTTGATCCCAGGACCCTGAGATCATGACCCGAGCTGAAGGCAGAGGCTTAACCCTCTGAGCCACCCAGGCGCCCCTGACAAAGTGTAGTTCTAAGTTAGGGTTTCTCCACTTCACAACTGTTGATATTTTGGGCAAGATAACTCTGTTTTGGGAAGCTGTCCTGTACATCAGAAGATGTTTATCAGTATTCCTGGCTCCTGTAGCACCTTCCCAGTGTGACAAACAAAAATGACTCCAGACATTGCCAAATACCCGCTGAGGGGTCCCTACTTGAAAACCACTGGTCTCAGTGACTTGAATGCCAACCTTGGCTCTTTTTTAATTCTGTGTTAATTCTGTGACTTAAAACACATCACTCAAACTTTTGAGGGGTTCATTTTTTCTTTAGGGAGTGGAGAGGTTGGATTTGATGACCATTAATGTCACTTCAGGATCTTTTAGTTGATGAATCCTTCAGCTATATAACACTTGAATTACAGGGTTATCTCTTTGGCATTCCCATCCATCTGGAACAATCTTAAGCAGCAGTAAATAAATTCAGAAGGCCTTTTAACAGACAAAATAGATATCTCAGTGAAGGTGCCATAATGCATATTGGACTTATTCAAAAGAGAACCCTTCTGGCCTTCTCTTAGAACCTGTCACATTTTACGTAAGAGCACAGTCCTAATGAGCTTGCTTCTCAGTATCCTAGTCTAAAACAGATCAACATATTTCTCTTTTGGTAGAGTTTCTAAAAGCAGACATATTAAAAGTACAAAAAATAATTTGAAAGGAAAAATAAAACTATAAAAAGCAGACACATATCAAAAAATTCAAGTTAGTGGTTAACTCTGAGAGGAAGGAAGATTCAGTCTGAAAGAGGCATAAGGGGGCTTTAAAGGTATTAACGTCTCATAATGTTTTAAAAGCTATGTCTATTTTATTCATTTTTTATCTATATGACATATTTCATAATTTTAGCAAGATATTTAAAAGCAGTAACACTCTAAAAACAGTGCCTTGATGCCATTAGGCATATATGCAAAGAACCTTCCATATTTCAGTAATATTTTAAGTTATTGCCATGTTAGAGCACAGTACCATAATTGATGCTCAGCATGTAAATGCTAAGGTATATTAGATATATCATTTCCAATAAAGGGAAATGTGCATTAAGTTTAAATTTTAAATACAGTTTAAATTTTTTTCATCAGAAATTGTTAGAATTAAATAAGTGCTTATGGTATAAAGGAGTAATTTCAAGCTATCTGAAAATACAGAACCTGGTTGTGTTTTTTTTTAAGATTTTATTTATTAGAGAGAAATGAGTGAGAAAACGAGCACAAGCTGGGGTTGGGGGGCAGGCAGAGGGAGAAGCAGACTCTCCACTGAGCAGGGAGCCCAGCGCAGGGCTCTGTCCTAGGACTCCGGGATCATGACCTGAGCCAAAGTCAGATGCTTAACTGACTGAGCCACCCAGGTGCCCACAGAACCTGATTTCTTAAGAAAATTAAGTATTACTCCAAAAGAACTTGACTTCTGCCCTTTGCCACAGACCATGTCTTTTTTCTTCACCACTGTATCCCTTAGTTCAGCTGAGTATTTTGGCACACAGTAGATACTCAACAAGTACTTATTAAAGGAATAAACTGAGTTTGGTCACACAAATGTTATTTACCTCCTAACTTTCCTCTGCTTAAAAGTTATCAGAACAACTTTGTAATGACATTCTGGGGGTTTTTTGGTCTGCCTATTAGGTTGAAAAGTTTCATAGACAGTATGAAGGGTATTTAAAATACTAGTTCTAACCTGGTGGTTTAAGCATACAGTAATACAAGTTTTAGTGTATTTATACAAATACACAAGGAGAAATTAACCAATGTCATATGTACCATAAAAGATTCCTACAAGAACATCTCAGTCCTAACACTTTTAACTCTGAGAAGACTAAAAGCAGGTATGTGATGTTTAAGGTTAAGAAATAAAAGGTTTTGACAGATGGTAGGGATTAGCTCTGGTATATTCTGTGCTAGCTCTAGGCCTCTCTTGGAGAATAGACTTTGACAGTGGAGAGAATATGAAGGGATCCAGACCATTATATTGCCAAGAATTTTTAAATTTTCTTTATTCATTATATCCTTTTCTTTCTACAAGTCTTTTTCCTCTTACCTTGGTAAATTGCTTATAATATAGAACTGTTGTCTTATTTGTTGAAAAATTTTTGTTTTTTTTTCTATTCAGATTTTTCATTAAATGTGTTCTAGTCCTGTGCTCTTGAAAGATGTACAGCAAATAAACATAGGGACACTTGGGTGGCTCAGTCAGTTAAGGGTCTGGGCTTGAGTCCTGCATTGGGCTCCTTGAGGCTCAGGTCCTGGGATTGAGTCCTGCATTGGGCTCCTTGCTCAGCATGGACCCTGCTTCTCCCTCTGCCTGCTGTTCCTTTGCTTGTACTTTCTCTCTTTCTCTCTCTGTCAAATAAATAAATAAAATCTTTTTTTTAAAATGTAGCTTTTATTTTACATCTACACTAATTGATTTTTTCCCCTTGGAGTTAATCATCTTTGTTAAGAAAATGTTTTCCTCTCCTGAAATAGGGGAGTAGGAACAAAAACTGCTACTGCTGCCTTTGAGATTTGAGTGTCAGGCATTTCATGAAGACTACTAAGGACATGTATGTGAGGGTATGTCCAAAGACTAAAGAGGAAGCCCTAGCCCCTATTTGGATAATGAGCTTTGATTAAGGCCAGTGGTGCTAATTGCAGAGCCTGTTTTTTTTCTGTCATTCTCTCCTTAGTCTTGAGAAGTAATTGGTCTTGGCCTAATTTTTTTAAATATAGAAATCCTCATCACAATACTTTAAAAACATAAAACTTCTCAAAAAAGCCTGGCAAGAGACCTGTGTATTTGCTAAGACAAAAAGAAGGCTTGAATCCTTGGAGAAATATATCCTAAATGGAAAGTCTAAATAGCATAAACATGTTGTGTCTCTCCAGAGGAATTAGTAATTATAGACCTGATGTCTTCCAGTCCCTATAGTAATCCCTCACCGTGCTTACTAGATTAATCTGTATTCTGTATTTCACATTTTTTTGGAGTTATGTTATATTATTTGTAATTGTTTCAGAATGTCCTCGATAATATTTTTATATATAATACAAATAAAACATTTCCTTCAACTCCTCATGCAGTGGTGAATGGGATATTGTACCTTCATGTTTTTTTTACTGAAATACGGATTCATGAAATTACATTGTAGTTAGCAGTATCTTTATTCAAAATGCCACCATGGGGTGAGAATGTCTGTACTATTGGGCAGTTCAGTTAACCTCTCTCGACTTCAGTTTCTTCAACATGATCTTTATTTACCCCAGTTATACCCTAACAGTAGTTCTAGGATTGAATGACCTGTTTCTGAAAATGCTTGGATGACCATAAAGTCCTATGTAAATATTAGGCATTATAGTTTCTAGCTATCCGTGGTGATCTAGAACCAGTTTAGTCCTAAGAGTCCTGTCTTGGCTAAAGAGAATTTTTCTTAATCCTGTAGCTCTTCAGGTGTTCAGTGCAAATTAGGTGGTACTTTCTTTCATTCCTTACATGTAACTTCCTAATTACTTTTGCATAATAAATAAACTACAACCAGTTTTCTTAAGTTATTTTATAAAGGTCACAAATGTTTTATTTATTTTTAGATATAAATGTTTCCAACTCCTATAGCAAGTTGCACTGTTGTGATAACTTTTAAGTTTTACACGGTGACACATGTATTTTTCAGTAGTCATCTGACCTATGCTTTTTTGCTGACTAGCTATATATTACAGACTAAGTATATTCATGTATGGTAGTGTGGCAGTGAACCAAATCTGAGGAAAGACTAAGCCACTAGTAAGAAAAGTCCTGCTTCTGCAATCTGAGTAACAGAATTAATTCTCTCCAGCAAGCTTGAGCTTGTGAAAGCAATGATCATCCTTTATTCATATTTGTATTCTTAGCATCTAGAATACTGTGTGACATTCGGTAAATGTTTGGTGAACTAAACCCAAATGAAGCAGATATAGTGACTTGTAACTGCAAATGCTCTCTTTAGGGTACATTTTTCATAGAAACAATAATAATGAGTTTTATTTAGTCCTTTTTAATAGTATTTGTGGAAATCCGTAGCCTGTATTTTCTCAGTCTTTATAGCAAATCCGTGAGGTAGGTGTTATTAATCTTTTTTCTTTCCTTTAACTTAACGAGGAAACAAGTTGAGAGAAGTTAAGCAAGTTAATTGAAGTCACAAAGCTAGTAAATGATGGTGCCATGTCCTCAGTCCAGATCTGTTAAACTATGAAAATAGCCATGTTTTATGCTCCTCACTGCACTCGACTGACTGACTCACAGTTCAAGTTCCTGCTACAGAAAAGGCACTTATACATCTGAGTCCATGGTATGCTAGGTAGTTTATTAAGGAGTTTGGACTTTCAGGTAGGGCATAGCTGGAGCCTGGCTGGCAGAACTCTGCCAGGCCTCCTGAGGGCCATATTAATTCATTGGGTGACCATCTGTCCTGATTTGCTTGTGACTAAGGGTTTTTCTGGGACACAGGACTTCAAGTTCTAAAACCAAGAAAACCCTGAGCAAATCCAGGGGTTTGTAAACCTGTATATCCCATTTTAATCTTACCAGTTTAAACTCTGAACAAGAGTATGTGGAGAAGCTAAAAGTAACAAATAAAGAAGATAAATGAAATGATAGCTAATGCAGAGATTCTATTAATTCTGTTTATGTTACCCACTTGAAGAATACTACAGTAAATTTAGGCTTATCTCAGTCGGCCACTTGATAGAATAATCGTTATATAGAACAGTGTCCTCTAGAAATTGGAAAATCTTTACTTGGAAAAAATACATAATATCTTAAAATACTTTTCAGTAAATCTTGAAATATACATACATCTTTTCACAGCTGCAGAATTTTTTAAGTGTGGCTTAATGTATAATTTCATTAGAAAGCTTTTAAAATTGGGTACCTCGGCCTGACTTTGCTGTGATAAAACATATATAGTACCTATATGTAAGATCTGGACTCTAAAATAAGCATAAAAGCAGACCTATCACATAGATGCTATAAATAAGACATTTTACTTCACTACTAACAATTAGGAAATATAGATGAAGGGCAAATGGATATTCATTGTATTGCTCTCCTAACTCTTATATAGATACAAATTTTTCCAAAGTAAAAAGTAGGGAGAGGGCTGCCTGGGTGGCTCAGTGGGTTAAGCCTCTGCCTTCAGCTCAGGTCATGATCTCAGGGTCCTGGGATCGAGTCCCACATC